ATCAATCTACAATGGTCTTTTAAAATTGTTAGAGTTTAGTCTATGGCCATGCTACCCTGAACAAGCCGGATCTCATCTGATCTCAGAAGCTAAGCAGGGTCGGACCTGGTTAGGACTTGCCTAGGAAGACCAGATGCTGTAGGCTTAAAAAATAAAAGAAATAAGGGATTGTAAGCTGACAAGGTCCTTGTAATCTGTTAGGTCAAGCAAGGGTTGCCTTGCCTTAAAAAAAAAAAAAAAAAGGAATAAATAAATAAAAGTGTTTGGATTTATTTCTTATTTCTAAGAACGGTTTGAATTAGGTTTTCTGTTTTCTCAGTTTGAAATTATTTTAACTGGCTCATCCTGATGGGTCTCCCTGGGCAAATACAGATCCACTGGAAGAGATAGTGATTCCACTCCAGCTCCCAAGGGAGTCCACTTTCCCTTGTGTTAAGGAGAGGGGTCAGGCTCCATGACCTTTTATTTGTAGGGGTCAGTCATCAACTTGGCATTACCAGGTTTCTGGTAACAGCTGCCCATCCTCTGCTGTACTTCTAAGTCAGACTTCAGAGCCTTCGAGGCCCATGAAACTCCCGAGTGACAAAGTTTCTTCAGCAGTCGTTATCAAGTGGCCCTCACAGAATGAGCAGGGAGAGAAAGAGAGAGAGAGGAAGAGGGAGGGAGGAGGGAGGGAGAGAGAGAGACAGCGTGCCCACGCATCAGTTTGGTTGGATTAATGGGACTTCTGAACCTAGACTCTATTTACCAAGTATTGCTAAAGGCAAGGCGTAGGATTTTCCAAACTGATGACATTACAAATTCATGACACATCATTAACTGGATCTCAAATGCTCACTCTCTTCCCCTCTACAGCAGCAATTTAAAATCTTTTTCACTCACAGTAGATATTTTCACCTATTTCCAGAGAAAATTAAACGAAATAAAACAAACAAACAAAAAAACAGTCAGGAGCCACAATCTATCTCTATGAAAACTAAGACATACCAGCACCTACTTTAACCCTTGTAAGGATTTCAAAGGAAGAAGTGTCCTGTCTGCCCTCCAGGCTTGGGGTGCAGAGTGTCCTCCTGCCCTCCAGGAGCTAGGCGCTTCTGGGTTTTATCCATGAAGCCCAAAGAAAGGGAGGGAAGAAAACTCAAGAAAGAAAACAGGGTAATGCTATCCAACAGTAAGAACTAGAGAAGCAGGAAATGAGGCCTGCAGCTAAATGAGGCATGGCAATGACTATTAGGAAAATACCAGAGGATACCCCGCCTGGCCAGGTTGGGAAGCCTGCCCACAGAGCGAGGCCTCGGGCTTAGACAGTCTTAGGTTGGTAGCAGAACGGAACATTCGAGAGCCTGTCTACAGCATCCAGCCTGAGGGTGCAAATACAATCCTCAGAGGCCAGGAAGGCGTAGCGCTGGTTGCTGCAGAGGCCCCTCTAGTTATCCTTTTGCTGCACTAACATAAATACTGTAGTTTCTCTGCCCACTTGATGCAGACAGCAAAATTTTCCATGGCTCGCCCTTTCTGGTGGAGAGTAAGTTCCTGAAAGAGGCACAACAGGGCATTGGGACGGAGGAGGGTAACTCAGAGTGAGTTTGTGGGATGGGGTGGGGCTGATGCTGGGCCAACCTGCTTCCCAGAGTGCCCCCCGGGGCGGGGCAGCAGAGGGGAAGCGCTTCCTAAGAACCTCGCCACCCTCCCTCCCTCCCTCCCGCGGCCCGAGAAGGCCAACTCCGCCTGCCTGAGTCACGGCTGGGGCTGGGGAGGAGCCGGGGGAAAGGCGGCCTCAGCCCAGAGCGCAGCCGGCTGCAGCAGGGAGAGCAGGCCGGGTGGTCGGGGATCATGGGGGAGAGCGCACTGGAGCCGGGGCCTGCGCCCGGAGCGCCGGTTGGGGGCCCCGTGCACGCCGTGACCGTAGTGACCTTGCTGGAGAAGCTGGCCACCATGCTGGAGGGGCTGCGGGAGCGGCAAGGGGGCCTGGCGCAGAGGCAAGGCAGCCTGGCCGGCTCGGTGAGCCGCATCCAGAGCGGCCTGGGTGCGTTGAGTCGCAGCCACGACACCACGAGCAACACGCTAGCGCAGCTTCTGGCCAAGGCGGAGCGCGTGGGCTCGCACGCGGATGCCGCCCAGGAGCGTGCCGTGCGCCGCGCTGCCCAGGTGCAGCGGCTGGAGGCTAACCACGGGCTGTTGGTGGCGCGCGGGAAGCTCCACGTCCTGCTCTTCAAGGTCAGTGATCTCAGGCGTTCCCCAATCTTGGGGCTTCTCCTGCCTCCAGGCTACCATCTGGGGGCTCCCTCCTCCCAGCCGCCTACCACACCCACATTCCTAACCCTGCCCTGGGGAACAGACAGCCAGAGCTGCACCCCCTCCCACACACACAGCCCATCCCTCCCTCCCACGCCTGAACCTAGCCTGGCCAATCAAAGACCTGCCAGGTCTAGCTCAAGCCACGTCCTCAGAATTTGCTCCAAGCCCCAGCCCATCCCCAAACGAAAATAACGGTGGTGGAAGTGCATCCCGCGATAGGGCGTCGCCTCCTCTAGTTCTTGCCCCCAGCGACCACCATGCTGGTCTCACAACAACTTCTGCAGTTCTCCCCGCCCCCTACTTTCCCATGCCTGCCTTTTCTTTCCCACTCGGTATGAGGAGGCTAAGGTGGGGCGGGTTCCCCTACTGTAATTCAGGAGTGAGGCTCAGGCTGGTGCGTGATAGGGGCCTGCCAGAGTCAGTGCTGTGTCCATCACATGCAGGAGGAGGCTGAAATCCCGGCCAGAGCCTTCCAGAAGGCACCGGAGCCCTTAGGCCCGGCGGACCAATCCGAGCCTATTCCAGAGCAGCTGGAGGCCGAAGTTGGAGAGAGCTCAGATGAGGAACCGGTGGAGTCCAAGGCGCGGCGGCTGCGGCGCACTGGGTTGGAGAAAGTACAGAGCCTGCGAAGGGCCCTTTCGGGCCGCAAAGGCCCGGCAGCGCCATTGCCCACGCCTGTCAAGCCACCTCGCTTAGGGCCTATCCGGAGTGCTAATGGCCAGCCAGAAGAAGCCCGGCCTGCGGTGGAGTCCAAGCTGGAGCCAGAACCTCCACCAGCCACCGAGGAAGATTCTGGAAAACCTGGGGCTGCCGACTTGGCTGTGCTCCAAATAGAGAGTGCGGCCTGATGGCTGGCGCTGCTTGCCTTCCCGCGCCTATGCCTTGTCCCAAAATAAATCTTCCTCTCAGAATGCAGCATTCACTCCCAAATAAGGAGTGAATCCTGCATCCACAGCTCAGCTCTGGCCCTCCTTTCCGGCTTTTTCAGCCTAGCGCCCTGTGTCCTAGGAGCAGCCACTTAACACCTGCTTGCACTCACCATCAATAAAAGTAGTGTCTCCTAATCCAGACTCCCTGTGAAGGGGGGTGGAGGGGGGATGGGGGAAGGCAGTGCAAGGAATAAGACAAATGTTGGAACCAGGAATGTGGCTTCAATTTCAAACATTGTATGATTTCTCCCATTTCGATTGAATCCTGGGCTCCAGTCCAGTGGCACCTAGAAATATCCTGCTGGCTGGCTGCCTGCTCCCTAAGTGCTTTCCTCACAGGGAAGCGTCCAGTACAGTCCCTTGCTGTAGGTACTCAATAAATGTCAGCTAGTGGTTTTCCTCTTCCACACGTCTTACTCTACCACTTCCTAAAAGCTGAATTTTCCATGATTCTGTTCTCAGCCCTCTTCTCATTCTGGGAACTCCTCTGTTAACATTCACTCCCAGGCCTCTTCTACCAGCCACATGTACCCCAGACCACTGTCTTGAGCTGCAGTTGAAAAGTACTGCAAACTCAATGTGTCCAAAGAAAATAAATAATCTATCTTCTACTTTTTTTATTAAGTTCAATTTCAATTCTACAGCTATTTATTGAACACTTACTGTGTAACATTCAAAATTGCTCCTCTTTTGTTTTCTTTACCAATGAATGGCACCATCATCCACACAGAACGCTGGCAGTCCTTGAGATTCCTTCACACTACTGCTCTGCATGGAAACAGTTATCTTGTTGCTTTGACCTCTGCGATCTGTCCGCTTTCCTTAATGCCCATGGCCACTGTTCTATTTCAGGCCTTATCTTTCACCTGATATTCACAGTATTGGAACTGCCAATCTGATCCCATCACTCTCCTGATTCAGACCTTGGCCCCCCATCACCTTAAAATAAAGTCCAAGCTCTTTAACATTACTTTCAACAGCTATTGTAACCTCCGAGATCCTTTATGATCTGGTCCCTGCCCAGTTTTGTAGCCTCACCTCTTGTCCTCCATTCCCTTCATTCTATTAAGTTGCACTGAGCTATGTGCTCTCACTCTCATCTCTACTGTTGTGCAAAACTCAGCAAGTTACCCCTGTTTCAGGGCCAAATGCTTCTCTTTGTTGCTTCCAAAGCACCACCTGCACACCTCAGTGCTAACTGCACTCATTGTGATGATTTACAATTGACTCTCCTTGTTCCCACTCCACTAGACTGTGGATCCTTTGCAGTACAACCATTTTATTCATTTGTATATTTTCCAAACCAAATACTATGCCTGGCACACAGTAGGGCCTCACTAGGCCTTGTGAATACCAAGTCTCTCCTGGGGCCTTCAAGGACCTCAAAGTTTAGGGAAATACAAACATAATTATGATGAAGGATGTAGGTGTAGTGATAGTTAGATGTAGGTTATTTTGAGAGGAAAGAGGGAAGAACACAACCTAACCTGAAGGAGGAAAAGGCAAATAATGAGATGGAAAACAGGAATGGGCAGGAGAGCTCAGTGGTTAATAGTGTTAGTTCTCCGTTCCCTCATCTATAAAACAGGATAATGAAAACCCTATTGGGCTTATGTGAGGATTAAATGATGTAAGGGCCTAGCACAGTGCTTGGAACATAGTTTATTCAGCTATGTAATTTGTCCACACTCATTCCGCAAATATTTACTTAACTTCGAGTGTCTGCCTGGCATTATTTTAAGAGCTGGGTATACAATGACACATAAGAAAGACAAGAGCTCTGCCTTCATGGAGTTAAAGTCTAGTAGAGGGAGATAGGCAATAAGTAAGTAAACTTATAAGCCAGATAAAAACAAGTAAATATGAACTAGAAAGGTCGTCTGGTTATGGGCTCTGAAGAAAACAGGAAGGGTACAGATAATGGCTGGGAAGGGAGAGGACTTTGAGATGAAGATATTGGGAATTTAAAATGGGACCAGAGTTCAATAATGACTTAATTTTTTTTCATGGATTCAATTTTGAAGAGTCCCAGCCTCCACCTGCCACAATTGTGGGAAGTGTATTATTAGTCACTTTAGAGCTCCTCCTCATCCTTAGACTGAGTACTTAAAAGAGGGTTCCACCTTCTCCAGCTTTGGATGTCCCTGCTGTTATTGCTCCTTATGACCACACGATGACACTGTTGGGGCACCAGTGTCCGGGCTGATGCCTCATCTGACAACCCCGGGGTCTGCCCGCCCAGTTCTGTGCTCTGAATCAGAGATTCTTCCATGCAGGGCAGCTCTGCAGTCGCTCCATTCCCTCTGGAGAAATCAGCTCTCTTCCTGCAGGTTTCCAAGGCTTAGTGTTCAGACTGTATCGGCTGCCCAGCCGCCACTCCGTCATGGAGGGCTGATCTGAGCAGGCTCAGTTTTCTATCCCCAGGGAAAAATAAATTCTCGATTTTTTTCCAAATCCTTAGAAATCCAGCCAATTACTCCCTTTCAACAAACATACAAAATTAAGAGCCCAGCTACACATTTCTCATGTAAAATGTCTTGAGAGCTCATTGGGAGGCACATGAAGGCTCAGGGAGTCTGGACCCTGACCCCTAGGAACCTAAAGGCTTGGCTAACTTTGATGAAAGGATGCTACTTTCTATTCCTTCCTGATACTTCTTCAGCAGCAAATAATAAAAACCACTGTAAAATAAAAGTAACTTAATTTCTTAATGATTCTCTTTGTTACATTACATTCTCCTTTGTCATTGCTATGGCTACTTTTATTAATGCGATTATAAACTAAGAGAGTGGAGACACTGAACCAGAGTATCAACTTGTCATCCAGCATAGGTGGCATTTAGATGGCTGCTTTAATCAAGGGTTTGGCATACTGGTGGATAATCAAAATACAGAAATTGGTCCTCGGTTCCTCAGACCAGAAGCACAGATTTATTATGCATTCCAGCATGATCAGGCTGAGAGGGACTGATCTGCAATAGCCAAACTCAGAAAACATGGATTAACTTGAGTACTGGATTCATTAATTTCCCAGAGAAATCTAACTGCTAAGTGAACTAGAATAATCCTGTTAGCTAGTTAGAACATTTTCCATCCTGCAACATGGGAGGCCAAAACAAGACCTTAAATTGTAAGGGTATGAAATAGTGGAAGCAGGAAGAGGATAATGGGCCGGATTATCCAACCTATATGCCCATTTTCCACTGTGATATTCCTCCTTACATGGGTAAGAATATATACATTCCTGGTAGGAAATTTCTTCTCCTGTTAAGTACTGAAATCCTGACTTTCCTTTATTGAGAACTGTGTCATATAACTTTAGCACTGAAGGGAACTCAAAAGCCATCGAATCAACCTGCATTTCCAATACTTAAATGTCCTCTGCTGTCTGCTGCCTACCCTTAGCTGGCCTATACTTGAAAAAGGTCAGTGACAAGGCACTCACTACCTCTCAGGTAACATATTTTTGGTAACAACTTTGACTGGTAGGAAACTTTTCTTTATACTGAGATCAAAATCCGTCTTTATGGTTTCCAATATGTGGCAGTTGGCCTCCCTTCAACAACATCTGCACAACAAAATTCCTTTATTTCTGTGATGTATATATTTTTGGAGTCTAGCTACAGCAGGACACACGGGGCTGACTTATTTTAGGATTTCTTTCTCTATCTCAGGCCAAACATTGCTGGTCTATTCAGCTATCCCTTGTGATATATTATTAAATCTTGGCCATTCTTTTGTGAATTGTTTTCATTCTTTTGTGAATTGTTTTATGCATATCCATTTTAGAAAGGAAGGTGACAAGGTGCATGGAAAAACCATGGTCTTTATAGTCAAAGACATCTGAGCTTCATTTCTGGTGAATGAAAATTCTTTCTCTTTTTTTAGGTCTGTTATGAGATTTGCATAAGAATTTTCATTTACTCATTCATTCATTCATTTGATATTTGTCGTGCTATGTGATAGAGATGGAGGGTGTATTACATGAACAGGGATGCTGCCTTCATGGAACTTCCATTAAACTAACAATTGTAATAAATTTTTAAATAAGTGCTATGATGAGAGAAATATAAGGTGCTATAGGAGGACTCAGCGGGAGCCTCTAACTCAGTAGGAGTGGTAGTAATTACAGAAGAGGTCTCTGGAGTAAAAATGATCTTTCCTCAAGTGACTTCTTAGGATGACCTGATATAATAAAAAGATTGTTATCTGAGTTTCCAGTTGACACACTAAATCCAACATATCCAAAACCTCATTCATCTTTTCTCAAGTCAAGATTGTCCTCTGTATTCACCTTAGAAACTGTTACAGCTGAAGACTTGACCCTTCACCCCCTCTACACCCCCATACATCCAATGTGTAAGCAAGACCTACAGATTTTTTTTATTAATAACTATTGTGAAATTTTCTTTTATAAACAACTCTAATAAATTTGGGACCACTCTGAGGACTTAAGAAACCCCACATGCCTGAAGGCAGAACCAAGAAGTGGAGAGAAGCCGAGTTTGAACTTTTTCTTCTGGTTAAAATGGAGCTAATTATACTGCCTACCTTGTTGGTTTGTTGTGACTTAAATGAGTGGAAACGTATAAAAGGCTCAGAATTGTGCCTGGAAAGTGAAAGCTTAATGCTTATTGTTGTTTTGTTATGATCACTTGATCCCTGCCTTCCGTCAGGCAGGAAACCAGCTCTTATCAGAGACATTTTCATTTATATGAGCTAATAAATATGCTTTTTAGCTTAACCCTAGTTTTCATATTTTATGTATGTGATTTTCTCCTGCAACTGAAAGATTCTTAATAGGCATTGCCCCATTGGCACTGGAACCCACATGGAAGTTAAGGGCAGTGTCTTCTTAGTGCAGTGCCTGGCACAGAGTAGATGTTCAATGAATATTTGGAGACTAAGCATATTTATTTCAGTGAGGTGTTAGGGACACAAGGATGAACAAGGAGCTGCCCTGAGGAGCCGTCTTACAGGTGAAACCTGTTTGTCATTCTTTGGAGTTCTGTTGTGTCCTCTCAGGGCCAAGTTATAGTAGAGACAGTGCCAGGGACCCACAATCTTTTCTGAAACCATGATAATGTTTTAACTTTTTTTAAATCGGAAGGAAAAAAAGAAATTTTAGGTAAAAGAAATGTTTTAATATATAATATTAATATAGTCATCTTTATACCGACACAGTTGTAAAACATAATTAATTATTATTATTACTGTTTTAGATAAGAAGGAGCTCATGAGGGCAAAAGTACTTAGGGTCCACAGAAGTCATAATGCAGCCCTGCTTTCTTGGTCTACCTTTTGTCTTCTTCCTCTGTGGAGTTTCCATGGTTTTACTTTTTCCTCTCACACTCATCTTCACATATTTGATCTTTCATTAGATGCTAATTTCCTCTGGTCTGACACATTATTGCTATGTTCTTTGGTTATTATTTAGAATTAACCTCAGATTTTTTTTTATTAAAAATGCACTAGATCCACTTTATGTCCTTTCCCCCATCCACCTAGCCTTACCTACCCCACCCTTGGCCCTTGGCCACTGGCCCTGTTTCCTGGCTCAGGAGCAAAGCCCTGAGAGTTGCTACATTTGTCTCATCTAATACTGCTTGTTGTGCTGACCATCTGGCAGCAAGGCCAGGCTTCGGCTTGAGCTCCATTGCCCCAGCCACTGTAGGAGCAACCTGCAGCAGTTCTAGTACTCAGGTCCAGCCAAGAAGCTGCCCAAAGGGACTGTCTCCAGATGAAGTGGTTCTATGTGGCCCATCAATCAATGTTTTCTTGAGAAGATGTAGCCAGCTTACTTATTACAACACTTCATGTTTGTTTTCCTTTCTTCTTTGCCTGCCTGCCTGCCTGCCTCCCTCCCTCCCTCCCTTCCTCCCTTCCTTCCCTCCCTATTTTTTACCTCAAGTCTCCCTTTCCTCTCAATCTTGCTTCCTTGAGATTGTATTCTCCAAGAATTGGTCACATGTAGGTTACATTTATTAAGGCCATCTCTATGCCAAGTACTGTCCTAAGCTTTTACGTTGGATTCTCATGTCAGTTTTATGAAGTAGAGATTGTTAGCATCTCATTTTATGGAAGAAGCTCATGCCTAATGTTGCTAATTATTCACTGCACTCGATTCTTGGTTTAGATAATTCCCAGTTTGAGAACATGTAAATCTTTTTTTTTTTTAAATTTTCAATTACAGTTCACATTCAATATTATATTAGTTTCAGATATACAGCATAGTAGCCAGACTGAGCCTCTAAATCTCTAAATATTTGTAATTGATATCGATGGATGGAGGACCCAATATTCCACAGCATGTTTTGTATCTCTAGGTTATAGTTTGAACTATTATGTCTTTAAAATTCCTTATAAAGTATTAGGTCACCATTTTCATCTTCTCTGTAGCAACTTTTTTTTTAATGAATGTTTTTCACTTGTCATTTATTTTTTCTAGTACCTATCCTCCTTTTTTTAAAAAAAATTAAAGTTCTGTATAATTTTTTAAACTATTATCTGTATTTCAAGGAAGTTCATTGTGGAGAATGAGCCAGGGAGGTGATCCAGACTAGCAGGAATTCTCCTTATGACACAGATTTGATCTTTTCTTTAGTAGTTAACAATACAAAGTTTCTCTTCTTCTTGAAATTACTTGCTGCAAGATAAGTGGTGTAATGGCCTGCTGAAATGTGAAAGGGTTAAAGAATAATTAAAACCTGAAACTGGACAAAGGAAGTCTATAACTTAGGCCTAGTTTCTGGAACCCCTAACCACATTCTGTTAATCATGAAACTTGTAACAATGAGCTCATACGCTAACTGCCGATTTTAGCCTGTGTAACCCTGCTTGCTTGCGTGGCATGAAAAATAATCAATTGTATATAAGCTGAAAATTACTGTTTGGCCATCGCCCATGGGAACACTGGCTATTGCCCATGGGAACATAGGCAATCACCCATAGGAACATAACATTCTAACACAAGCTTTCTGCTTCTGTACTTCCCGCTTGCACACCTGACCAGTGGGTTGACAGGTAGTGAATAGGAGAAAGATGGACCTTTGTGTTTAAGACAGAATGAGGAATGGGATTCGGGGCTTAAAAACCTTCTATCTTGGCATTTCGAGGCTGCTCCTTTGCAAGGACAGCCGCCGGCTAATAAACTGTCTCCTGGTTAAGAGCACTCAAGTTGGGTCTGGTTATTCTGGACACAACAGTGGCTGTTTGACTGTTCGATTCCTTGCTCAGCTCTGTGAGCTCTGCTCCTATACAAATCAAACTAGTTTTAAGGAAGCTCCCGCCAGCTGCCCATGGACTCTATTCTCATTGCTACACACTAAATTTTGTTGCTTCTTCAAGGTGTGCTTGCACACCTTGGAGAGGTGTTGTGTTCTGCTGACGCTGTGTGTGTTGGTCTTTGAGATTTGTGCCTGCGATCATTCTTGCTTTTATCTTCACTGCTATTGGCAGCACTCCCTGTTTGTGGCTGAGGCTTTCAGATGTTTTCTAGGTTTGTCAGAGATGGACAGAGTTCGCATTTCTGTTCCTCTTTACGACTTTACGATTTTTCCCCAAGATGACAAGAAAAATACACTTGTAGAGCAAATATGGGGCATAGTATAAATGTGTAAAATTTTCCTTCCCCTCAGTTTAAAAAAACTTAAAATTGATTTTATAGACTATATATCCAAACAGGTGTTAGAATCACCTG